TACTTGCCTTGATGTCTCCTGAGTGAACTTCCTTGTTCTTGTAGTAATCAGTCGGACTGCCATTGTTGTTCTGTATTTTTCCCTGTCCAGGCTCTTTTTTCTAGTCTCTTTTCATCTGGATGCTCTGCTAAAACCTGTCCACCACCGGTGGCTCTGCTGGTATTTGAAGTACTGGTGGTATCGTTTCCAGAATCATTGCAACACACAAGTCACCACAGCACAACGCATTGAGCACCATATAATTGGGTTAGCTAGAAGGTTGCCACAAGTCAGAGGCAACGCATTGGCAACTAACAAAAGCAACAAGGTTTACTCTTATCAGTGTTTCTTGTTGTTGTTAAGTACCGTGGAGTCGGTTCTGACACGTAGTGACCCTGCACAGGGTTTCTGAGGCTGCAAATCAATGTTTCTTAGCCCCGTGAAAATCTGAGGAAAGCCAGCTGCCCTCTCTCTAGAAAAATGTGCATGTGGAGTCCTAGTATGGCACTGTAGGATCAGTACTGGACTGCTAACCAATCAGCCACTCCTTGGACACCCTACAAAAGGTAGCTATGAATCAGAACTGATTCAAGGGTACTTCACACCACCACCACAAAGACCCATCCGCAGACCTCATGTTAGCTAAGACCGCATTCAGCATTTATGGTCCCAGTCATCATGGAGAGTGTAATTCAATTCAGCACATGGGGGGAAACCGTAAGGTTACCACACAGGACAAGAAATACCTAACCCATTGCAGATAGAAAATGTTATTGTTATTGTTAAATGTGCCATTGAGTTACCTTCAACTCAAAGTGACCTTGTATAGGGTTTCTGAAGCTGTAAAGCTTTGAGTGAACAGAAAGCCTCACCTTTCTCCCACAGAGCTGCTGATAGGCTCAAACCACTGACCTAGTGGTTGACAGTCCAGTGCTTATCCCACAGAGCTACTGAAAATACATACCTACTTTTCCTTAGAGATGAAAAGTTTCATTAATCTACGTGATAGATATTATATCGCCAACTCTTGCTAAGTTCTATTTGAAGCCTTAATGGCTATTAATAATTTTGTTTACATCTGTGTCCCTGGTGCAGATCCATGCACATGATTCCAGAGACTTCTGTGACCTCTGGGTCATAACTTAGCATTAATATTAATAATAATAATATTATTCCTGAAGCTGAAGTGAAACTTGAAGTAAATCCTGATAACCTTTAGGATTCCCTCTTTAAGATTCTGCTTCAAGTATCTGTCTGTTCTTCCCACTTTCCTTTCCCTGACTGACTCCATCTGTCTAAGATTCCTGGCGCTGCTATCACAGAAATACCACAAGTGGATGACTTTAACCAACAGAAATTTATTCTCTCACAGTTCAGGAGGATAGAAGTCTAAATTGAGAGTGACTCTGGAGAACAATCCTTGTTTCCTTTCAGCATCTGTAGACCCAGGATTCCTTGGAGATCCCTGTGTATCTTGGCATCAGTCTTTTCCTTGGATCTAGGAGACCTGATGATGTTGTGGGTTATGAGTTAGACTGCTAACTGTAAGGTCAACAACTCAGTCCACCAGTCAGAAAAAGATGAGGCTTTCTGCTCCCATAAAGATTTCCAGCTTCAGAAACCATATATAACCAGCAGCAGCAGCAGCAGCAGCAGCAACTTGACAGTGTAGGAACCCCAGTACAAAGCATGCGCTCCTCCCTGCTCACTTCTCTCCCTTTATCTCTTATAAGTAAAAGATGTCACGCACCCTAGAGAAACCCCTTATGTCAGATCAGGGCTGTGACAGGACCTAGGGTATGGCATCCCACTCTTAATCCTCTCCCTAGTTAATGTACACATTGGGTCATATCATGATGGATCATCCCATACTTGCCATATTACATCATTAGCTAACAGCCAAGCCACTGAGAATCATGGTCCAGCCAAGCTGGCACATATTTTTTTTTTTGGGGGGGGGGGGGTGGTGGTCACAATGCAATCCATGACACCATCTTAACCAACCCGATGAGGGACTCTCCCCTGAGCTCTCATCAACCCTTCACATGTATGTATGTTGTACATCTAGTGTGGTGCAACTCTCTAGTCTGTTGTTCCTCTCCCCACCCACACCATAAAGGTAAGGATAGTGGCACACTCACCATTGGGCCCAGTGGTCCAGCAGTGAGTGCAGTACATAGTAGGTACTCAATACATGGGCTAAGTCATCTTTCACTGGGTCTTCAAAAGTTCTGTGATGCGTCTGGTGAATAAACAGGCAAGAAACCCAGACTGATCACATTAAGCAGGCCTCACATACTTCCAATGTAGTATTTCCCATTCCCTTTGTCTAAGGAATAATTAATTAGGCCAAAGCTGGGGTGGGGGTGGAGAAAGCAATGGAGAGCATTGTGGTTCTGTGGTAGAATCTTTACCTTTCATGAGGGAGATCTGGATTTGATTCCCAGCCAGTACATTCCATGTGCACCCACCACTTGTATGTCATTGGAGGCTTATATGATACTATGATGCCGAACAGGTTTCACTGAAGCTTTTGGACTAAGAATGACTACAAAGAAGGGCTCAGTGATCTGTTTCCCAAAATCAGCTGATAAAAACTCTGTGGATCGAAACCTTCAAATCTGCAACCCATCATGAGGATGATACAAACCCAGGCAGCACTTTGTTCCCTTGTGCAGGGCATCACAGTTGCCATGCATCGGGGTCTAACTTGATGGCAACAGACAACAAAATAGAGCAAATCAGAGTTATGATGAATAACCAGTCTGTTGTATTCAATCTGCCAAATTAGAGATGATAGGGAAACTCGCCAGGTAAGAGTTTATAGCCACTCATTGATGTCCATCCCATAACAGTTGCAACAGAACTGCTTGATCGATATCCCCAGGTGATCAGGCTAGTAGTAAACCCTAAGCAGCCTTATCCAGGTCTGTTTCTCAAGCTCCCGCACACACCATTTCTGAGCTGCTTAGTCCTCTAACTCCGCTTACTCCTTTAATTATTCCAGGCAGTGTCATGCACCCTTGGCTATGCTGCTTCCTCAGGAAAAGTGCCTGCCTTCATCTTCATATATTAAAAATGTTTTCTCATCTTCCACTAGGCTGCTCAGAGACCATTTTTCCTGGGGCGCTTCCCTTTGTCCCCTTACAAAGGAATCCCTCTTTCGTTAGCATATTGCGAGGACAAGGCATCTCTCACAAAGCCTTCATTAGTGATCCTCTATCAGAACCAGAAAAAAGCAGCCATTTCCAGTGGACCCTTTTTCTTTTATCAATTCAGTGTTTGTTTTTCCATTTCTACATCATCTATTGCCTTCTAATAACCATTCTGTAGACAATAGCTTTCAGCATTTCCCACTTAAAAACCATATCAAGTAAATTTGATGTATAAACATTATAAATGATGAAAGAATTCTGTCACATGTTCTTATGGTTACCGGGATGGCCCAGGTTCCTGTTGGAAAATGTTGAATGACTAACTGGATGAAAATGCATATTTCCTTTTTGTCCTTGATAATATATTGTTCACACATAGATTCATGAGTTGGGGAAGTTTCCTCCAGAACACTGCCATCTGAACTCAGTCAGTCTCATGGTTAGAATCCAGAGGCCTGTTCTCCTTTCCTTGGTATTCACCTTCTGAGTCATCTAATAATCCTTAAACATTGTTCTCCGTCAGCCTTCTTTTTGCCATTATGAAAAGTTTTGAATTCTCAACTGTGTGTGATGAAGTGTAAAAATAGACTCAAAATAGCAGTCATTTATTTCATTATTGAATCATCCTTCTAGGCAATTCTATCATTCTTCTGTTTTCTTATTACTTTAGTTTCTTTTAAGCATGGTTGGGAATAATTGGTGAGTAACGATAAAATAATCCCCAGGATGATGAAAAAGCAAACTGTTTCAGGAGACAGAAAAAATATCACAAAGGTCCTATCAGGTATTTTCAGTACAAAAGGGTCCAGTGAACCCACATAATAACTGCCAAACAGAATAAGTTTTACCCTCTTTCTTAAATAAGCAAATTTTCTCATTTTGGGGGAGTCCTCTATGAAAGAGTTAAAGCCATGAAATATCAAGCCCTACAGGTAACAGCAACTCAAAGAGACAACTAAAAATTGAAAATTTACTCCAATGGTTATGCCGAGGGTTGCCTTGTTAAAATTCCACACACATCTATCCAACGTAAGTCAAGAATACATTAAGGGTCGTAATCTGCGTCTTTCCCGAGCTCCCAGGACTGCTCATTGGAACAACTTTGGACATACTCACTGAATGCATGGTTCTTGTTCTTGCTGTTAACTGCCATTGAATAGATGGTAGGAGCAGTCAGTGTAATTATTTAGCTGTAACTGCAATTATTTGGAGAATATCACGTAGTGTCCCTTACATGTAAGCAAGGACTTTGCACCATCTGAAAATCTTTGCCCTTTGCCCAGAAAATTGTTCCCCTCTCCTTTTTTTCTGGGTAACTATTACTCACCATGAATCTCAATTCACGAGTTCCTTCCACAGGGAAGTCTTCCCCAGCCGTCTACCCATTTGATCAGTATATTCCTTTATGGGTGGACTGAGTTCCCTGCTGACTTCTCCTTCTCTCCACTTAACACCATGATAGTTCATAAAGGTTTATACATGTATTTGATAAAGGTGTGTCTCCTCCAGTAGACCCTACGAGCCACAGAGGCAGGGGTCGGTCAGGTGTGCTCAGCATAGTATTATTATGACCAGCATGCGACTGTTCATGGTGGGCACTCGGTAAACATTTTGTGAATGAAAAACCTGATTGAATTCAAACACTTATTTGAATACATGTGCTCCCCTGCCTCAATCTGTTATCAGAGTGCTAAGATGCACATGAAAGTAAAAGTAGCAAGTAAAAGTCTGTCTGTAAAATGCAGACCAGGTAAGAGAGCTGTAACTCTCCTGGGAGCCTTGATCCTTCATTTAGGGGTTATTGGAATTAAAACAGCCTGACTGTAGCTGAGGGGTCCCCATCTCATAATTCTGACTTTCATGTAGGTGTTGGGTGATTCATCTGAGACTGACATCAGCAATGAGGCTCAGCACCTTGGGACCAGCACAAACACCACAGAGGAGAAACTGAGAGACAGATTGTATGAGTTAGCAATGAAAATGAGTGAAAAGGAGACATCTTCAGGAGAAGACCAGGAGTCTGAGCCCAAGACAGAATCTGAGCTCCAGAAGGAAAGTCTGTCCTCTGAAGACAACAGCCAGAGTGTCCAGGACGAGCTGAAGAAGGTAAGGACTGTGAAACCATCCTCATAAATGGTTTCCTCAAGACCCTGCAGGTGGGGTGGTGGGCAAAGGCTCTACATCTGTGCAGAGATGTGCTGGGTCCCAGAGACTCTCTAAAATGCCCATATGTCGGCACCTGGGAGTGCCCAAGAGACAGACTTCTTCTTGATTAGTGCTGAGGGGGACAATCAGGAAAAAAGCAGGGTCCTGCAGCTTCTTCTAAGATCCTTCATCGTGACAGCTCTTCCCTTTCGAGTAGGGTTCCAAGTCTATAGTGCCCATTGTTTCTCTCAGTGGTAAAAAGCCATGTGATTTCCCACTCTGCCCATGGGTTAAGCTCATGCAGTCCACGCCTCATTTAAACAATAAGGAAGCAGCATTCCATGGAACAGAGTCTTTGTGCCAGGGCGACTTCTGGATCATGTATCTTTGGAGTTTTCAGACTTTGATTCATTAGTTTTGGCCACAATCCTTTCTCAAACAAAACTCTGTATGGAATCCTGGTGTGACAGGGATTGCTGCCATTAGGATTCCCAAAGCCCCCAAACAGTTGATCTTCAGTCCCTCCTTCTTCCTCCAGATTTCAGCCCCTAAATTCAAAAGGATTCAGTTTAGAAATAGCATAAGCTAGACCCATCCCCACAGAAAGGCATCCGAGATTTCCTCCTTCCTACTGTCCTCCGGAATGGTCCTGGGTTTCTTCTAAAGCTTCTCAATGGATGTCCATGCTAGAATCAAGGCATCTCTGACAGCCTGCTATGGAAGAGGTAGAAACTTGTGTTTACTGTGGGTCTACTATGCACCTGAGTCCTGATGTGGCACTATGGGCTAATGCACTGGACTGAAAATTGGTTTGAACCATAAAGTCGGCAGTTCAAACTCATTATCTGCACCTTGTAAACCCTATACAGGGTCATTATGGGTCGGAAACAACTAGACAGCACTTATCAACAATGTGTTAGCTCATTTAATAATAATCCTTAAAGTAAATGAAGCCCATTTTTGCAGATGAGGAAATTAAGGCTGATTCATTAAAGTACTTGCCCAAGGCCCACACTTAATAAGTTTTAGACTTAGGGTTAGAACACAAACCTACTTGGCTTCAAGCCATGGGCTCCTTCCTACCTTTACTGTTCTCCAATTCTTTTGTAACTTAAGTTTTATCTGGTAACATCTAGAGTTCTTTGTATAAGGGATACACTCAGTACTAAAGATTTCATCTTTAGAGTGATAATTAATCTCTCAGGTGTTTTTGTTGGTTTGTTTTGTTTTGTTTGGGGGGGTGTTTTTTTGTGTTTTGTTTTGTTTTTAAAGTCCGAAGCTGTAATCTATAAGCTAACAAATTGCTGGTGGCCCACACACATGGGCTGCAGGGAGCCGAATCAACTGGGTAATGACCACCTGTGACCCAGAGCAGCCCTAGAGACAAGTAGACAACAATCCCCAAGGCTGAGCCCCAGAACTCACCAGTACCCTGGAGTCTGCCTGACACTCATTCCCATCCCATCCTCCCTACCCACTGAGTGCTCACCCATAGACCTGCTGGGGCCTCTGATGAGGATCATGCACACATCTTTACCCTAGCATGTATGTGGGTTGGGGCCCCCAGCGAGACCCCCACAGGCAGCCCTCTGCAGCCCTTCACCCATTACTTTACTGATAATTCGAGACTCAGCTTCTGTTTCTTTTTTTTCCTTTTTTTTAAAAAGTCTTACTGTGAATTATGTAATAGTTTACATGGGAGAACATTAGTTTTACATTCATTCTATTGTGTATTATTTCATTGCCATGGTTACAATCCCCTCCATGCATCATCAACCAACCAAAGGGTATATCCGGCAAGCCTACCTGCCCCCCACCCTGGTCTTCAGCACACAGCCCCCCTCTCTCTGTGTGTCTAAAGTCCCCAGCTGCCCCATCTCTCCACGTCATTGTCTCTGCCTCCATCTCAGGCATCACTGCTTCTCTGGGTAGGGTCCCGCTCTCCGCTATTCTCCCTTGATGGTCCCAGGGACCTCCGCTCCTAGACTGAAAAGTTAATCACTCCCTTCCTTGCTACAAAATGTCTACCTTTACATTTCCAACCCTCACAAGCAGTCCTGATAACAATTATTCACTATTGTATCATAAGAGACCCATCCTCATTTCATTTCATCAGCCCTGCCTAAACAGATTGGATACTACTCACTGGAGATTCTACCTTCCTCCAGGCCCTCTGGATTCAGGTTCTCTCTTGAAAGCTTGTAAGCCAGTCACTTCTTGCCTTTGTAGCCACCCCCATTTTGGATAGCCAATCTCCAAGTTGCCCATCCCTATCTACTGTGTGTGTGGAGGGGGTGGGAATGATCCTTGCTGTAAAGATTTGTTTCCTCTTTTGAGCTACTGCATCCATAGGTGTAGGTCAAGTTCATCAAATTGTATCAGATTACTCTTTTTTTTCCTTGTTCTTCTTCTGGTTGAGCTCTGATCATCCAGTCATTGAAGCCAGGTCAAGTGGGTATTATCTACAAGTGTGGGTGTTCTTGTGCATATGCCCTCTTTTCTTATCAGCTGGACACTTCACTCTCCACTCTAGTCCCCTGTGGCTATGTCACTGACTCTGGGCCCAAGAATCCCCAGGTCTTGCCACATTGCTGGTCAGCCAGGTCTCCACCCGGATTCACAGGAGTCTGTTGAACGTGGTAGGGCTTAGCTTGCAGCTTCATTGCTGTTTTTCCCTCACTTCCCCTTATCGGTGACCAATGTGGTCACCAATTAGAGTGTGTATTCCCATTGAGTTTTAGTCTTGGAAGGGGGTTTGCTCTGAGGGGATGTGCTTCTGTTTCTTGAACTAATGCTGTACTGCAGTCAGACTGTCTGCTGAAGCAGAGAGCCAGATGGTCACTGAAAAATATCACATTCTTTCTTACAATGGCCCTGTGTCTGATTGGCTTCGCTGCTCCTTGCTCCAAACACTCACCCCGTACCAGCAGCATGCCAGGCCACGATGGCCCAGCACCCACAGGCCTCGCCTCCTTCTGGAGACACAGCACCAACTAGAACCGTGCTTTACTGGCACACAATGTGAACAGAGAAAAGACACTGGACAGATCCTGGGACGCAAACAAACTCCTGACACTGTTCCATGTCCTTGTTGTTGTTAGGTGCCATCTAGTTGGTACCAACGCATAGCGACCTTATGCACATCAGAATGAAACACTGCCTGGTCCTGGGCCACCCTCACTACTGTTGCCACACTTGAGTCACTTGGCCAGTCCATCTCATTGCTGCCACTTGGCCAATCCATCTCAGTGGGGGTCTTCCTTATGTCCTTACTGAGCAGGAAATTAAATTGTCACTTGGACTCAAATTCCCAAATGAGTCAATTCTGCAGAATTCTGGTCTTTCAAGCCTGGTCAGCAAATTAAATATACAACTAGCCATCACCCTGTACAGGTAAAACTCCAGATAGAAAACAAACAAACAAAAAAAGATGAGTAATAATATTTTCTCAGTCAGGCCTGGGCAACTCTGATTAAAAACATGTCGAAATACAGGTTAATGTATCGAATATTGTTTAGTGATAAAACAGTATAGAGACAGGCCTCAGGAATGGACTGGGTCTGAAACACAAGCTGCACGTTTTGTAGACAGTTGGTTAATCGTTAACTCATTCCACTACTTGAAGCAAGTGAATGTCAGTTCTTTCCTCTCACCTCCTACCTCGTCTGCCTGCTCTCCTAGACCCTGTTTGATCCCGCTGACCTTTTCTCCACCCTGTAGTCTGAGCTGCTTGCTCCCTCTGTACTTGCCTCCAGGTTTTTCATGGATTCCTAGGATCCAGCCAGCTCTTCCTTGTTGATGAGCATAAACACATCTTGGCCTCATCTGTGAAATGGGCGGAACCATCCCTCATTATAGAGCTGTGAGGACTGCATTATATAATGTATGGTGTGGCCACACATGGCATAAAGAGCCCAACAGATACTAGTTATCATGTGTCCTTTAACCGTTTCATGGAAGATAAACTTCACATTCCTCACATAACGTCCCTCTGCTGACACTGAAGGAACAGCTTAGTGTCTGTTCCCAGTCAACACTTGCCGCGTCAACCTATAGATCTGTAGCCCATTTGGCGCCTCTTCGTGCGATGTGGAACATATATGGGAAAAGCTCTCTATCCAACCTCACAGGCTCTCATCTTCAGGATCAGAGTAACTGTGACTTCCCCTGTGATTCAACCATAATTAGTTTGCACAACACACACAGGAACACAGATGTGTATATTGAATATTATTCAGAGATGGAGCACTAGAGCAAGAAGCCTCAGGATTAGGCTGAGTTGGAAACTCCACCATAAAATGTGCGAACACACACAGCATGGCTGCCGAGTGCAGCGGGACTGAGCTCTCACTGCTCCTCCCTTAGCTCCTGGCCGTGCATAGTGACCGGAAGTCTAATGGACAAAAGGCTTTCTCTGACAGGAAGAGCTCCTCTCTCTGTGCAAAGGTAGGCTAGAAGTCCCAGACGTCTCAAGAGTTGTCCTCAGGTACTAATGGGAAGAGTGTATAAACATTTCTGATATTTCCCCCTGGGGAAGTGGGGTAACTCTGAGGCTTAAGCTGTACACTGACACCAGATTTCTCACTTGATAAGACAGTCTACAGTTTTCATTGGCTCCCTTCCCTGCCTTTCCTGGCTCACTTCCCCCACCCTCTGTCCTATTTCCTGGGATCACTTCTGCCTTAGTTCTCTAGTGCTGCCATAACAGAAATACCACAAGTGGATGGGTTTAAACAACAGCTATTTATTCTCATAGTTTAGGAGGCTAGAAGTCCAAATTCAAGGAGCCAGCTCTAGGGGAAATCTTTATGTCTCATCAGCTCTGGGTGAGTGTCCTTGTCTCCTTTCAGTATCTGTGGGCCTGCTGTTCCTTGGAGATCTCCATATGTCAGTCTTTCTCTGGGTCAACGATGTTCTCAGCACGGGATCCTGTGTCCTAAGGGTCCTCTACTTCTGGCTCA